ACAAGTGGTAGAACCCAAAGCTATAACCACATCTCAGTAGCTGCAATAAAAAAAAAGTTCAATTTTTTTTTTCAGATTTGGAACATCCACCCAGGAGTGTCACAATATGGAGCTCTAGGTATGTACTATGGATTTATGCAGTATGTAGTATGCATATATAGGTGTTAGGTGCATATTAGATGAGAAATAACAAAGAAAAGCCATTGGATCAGTTAACCAGATATAACCGACACATCCATCAATGCTGCCCTGGGGATCCGTCGATGCAAAGAGTGTTTCTTCATTGCTTTCTGTGCTGCAGGTCCAGTGAGATCAAGTGCATAAGCTGAATGCATTTGGTCAATCTTCTGGAAGAACTTCCTAATTGTTGACAGAGGGCAAGCCTTTCTGGATTTGTCAAACAGTTCTTGGCACTGTTTCCATATGGTACAGGTATGAATCTGCCTCCGATAATCTGTTTAACAACAGAAGCCTTCTTTATTATCAGTAAGATTTCAAAAAAACAAGCAATTCTAAGCATTACATACCGGTTTTAACATAGGCCCAAAGAAACTCAATTGGGTTCAGTTCACAGTGGAATTTCAGAAGGAACAGGCAGGTGTGGCCAGCTTCTTCAATTATTGATTGAAGGAGTGGATTTTCATCCCAGAAATCAGACTGATTGGACATTATCATGCTCCAACAACAGTCGTTTGATTTAGATTGAGTAACAGTAGTAGCTGAAACCCCAGCAAGAGTCTTGTTGTGGTGGTCCAGGCTGTTGTGCGCAACAAAACTGCCAAAACCCCTACCTTATAACCTAAACCACTTACATATATGAATATATTATTGCATAATCAGAATCTACATACAATTTTACCCATAGTCACTCACTACAACTATACCTCTATCTCTATTAGCTTAGAAGATAATCCAATATAAAGGTTAAAGCCATACCATAACTAGTCATTAATTAGTATTGAATAGTAGGTTACCACATATATATAAGTACATACACATAGATTATTACATCAGCAGGCCTCCACCAGTAGTGCAGAGCAGTTATGCAACTCTTGCATGCATACATGCAACCATTAGGCCTCCACTTAGTAGCTTAATTGAATTTACGCAGACTTTGCATAAATGCATGTGGACAGAAAAACCTCCACCAGGCAGTGCAAGCAGTTATGCAATCCTTACATACAGTAGTACCATATTTAGTTATTTCCACAGCATAATTAGCTCAATGCATGTACTCTTTGCAGGAGGCAGTGCAACCCACAAGGTCACCACCAGCAAAATCACCTCAACTGCATCACCACCAGCAAAAATAACTCAGAAAAGAATATATAAGGAGGCCTCTCCTTCACCAATTCCCCCCATCATCACCCAGCCGGTTCATCCCCCCCAGCCAGCTCAGTGGTCATCATCATCATCATCACCCAGCCAGTACAGTACCCAGCTAGCTCAGTGGTCATCAACATTCAAGACTAGTCAACAACAGCAACAACACCAACACCAACACCAACACCAACACCAACACCAACACCAACACCAACACCAACACCAACACCAACATCAACATCAACAACAACAACCAACAGTTTCACTACTTATCCAGAATCACCGTAAAACCATAAAACCCTATAAAATATTCCACTTGGATTGTTTTCACAACCACATTCACCGGGTAAAGGTTGTACAACCATCTTGTATTGAATTACATACTGATCTAGGTCTGATAGAGACTACTACATATAAGTTTTCTCCATCATAAAGTCACGCCACAACAATAAATTAAATTGTCAGAATTCTTGTGTAGTAAATAGAGGGGCAGGTCTTTCAAACCACCCGTAACAGTAAATATTACTTAGTGAAATATCATTATTGTTATTTCCCCCTCAAGGACTGCCAACCCATCCCAAAGGAGCTCTCACATTGTCCATGCATTGCTCATAGTTGAGGAAGTATCCATGGGCTTCAGCACGCTTAACCATTGTTGCAGCTCGGATTTTGGCGTCTTTCACAGCACCAGTTTGTGCACATTGCTTGCATCTGAGGTGAAGCCGTGGCAAGCGTTGATCAATGCAAGAACTGATATGATGTTGCCAAATGCCATGTTCGGAGAGGACCTGCTCAATTCCTTTAGGTTCGTTTGCTAAAGACTGGACTACATAATCTGCAGGGAAGCACATTGCCTGGTGCTGGCCTCTCAGATGTTCTGGAATGAGAGGGTCGTCGCTTGGGATGATTGTATCACACATTCGAGCTTGCTTGCCACCCAAACTGAGATTCATATTTTGAACACGAAGGGCATTGGGACCGTATGCTTCATGTGCTGAGGAGCAGTCAAACACAAAAACCCCCTGGGATCCAGGATGTAAGGCTTCGAAGATTGGAATTGCCTTTTCTACTACCTGGGCACACAACTGCTTCATGTCCCACCAAGGATCACCCTGGGATCCAGGATAGATCACTGTTGCCGCATCGGCCAAGCTAAGTCTGCTAGCTTTGTGTTGTTCTGGAGTCAGGACAAGACGGCCAGTTGATTCAACAAGAAAGTCCGAAATGTGAATTAATCGTCCAAGGCTTTTTGATCAAAGCTCATTTGTTCCTGGGAGTAGCCAAGATGTGGTTGGTCTTTCTTTTGCATGAATTGTAGATTCGTCCTGATAAACAAAGACCGTGTTTTGATTATCTCCAAGCATCTCTGGATCAACTAATACCGGAATATCACAATCATCTCTGTCATATCTTATTGAGTATTTGCGAAGCTGCACAACATCCTCAAGGAATTTCTTCCTAGCCTCAACTACATCACTTCGCTCGTGTCCATCATAGTATATGGACTTCCTATGCTTTTGGGCGCGAAATCCAAGCTTATACATCCATTGAGTAGCGGTATCAATATGAATAGACTTGTGTCCATGCTGAGGTAAGACATTGTTGATCACATGTTCATGAAATGACCGCGGAGTAACCTGTCAAAAATTCCGATTAGTAAGATCACAGTCAAAAAGAGAAAGTAGAATGAAAAAGGCATATGTACTCACATGACCTGGCTTTTGTGCCGCTGACCAGCTTGAGAGGGTCTGGAAAATAACAGGGTCATCTAGAATTGACTTCTGTTTAGCACCTTTGCCTTGATTTGAGGTGGATAGTTCCTTGAAGCATAATACATGTCTTGCTTGTGCTTGTATGCGCCTTGCCCGACCAACGCTTGTGCTAAACTTCTTGATTCCGGATTGGAGGCGACGGTTTGAAGAAGCGGCCGTTGTGATAGATGCTGCAATTGCTGGATGTGGAACGCCATTCATTCGGTTTTCATGCCTCAGGTTGTTAAACTCCTGAAGTTCATCAAGTTCAAATCCAGAATATTTCTTCTTCTTATCAATTTTCTCGCGGTGCCGGTATTCTAGCTTGAGCAAGGAAATAGCATCGTTAAGTCTTTTGAATTTGTCTTCAAATATCTTGCGCTCATCATAGGCAGGTTTGCACAATTTATTTGCAAGGTACTTATTAACACTTGAAGCGATGTGGTTTTCATATGCTTCATTGTTTCTAGCATTAGTATTCAAGGAAGAACTTGAAATATTGACGGGACTCTGTCCCGGGGAGCTCATATCATTGTTGACCCGTTCTTCAGACTGTTCTTTTCCTTTCTTGAGGAAGGCCGCCATAATTCCATTATTCTTTCCCAGCGCATTGTTTCTATTAACCTGATAGTTGTGCTTCGTTGTTCTAGTAAGTTTACGAGGGACAAGCTTCTGTGAATTACCGCTAGGATTGGGAACGGGCAGAAGGTACCCCAAGCGGCCTGACTTGAGCTTTCTTTTCTGAGCTTCAGTGTCATTTGAAAAAGATATCGGCCATAAAAATTTGACAACCTCTTTGCTCTCATCGTCATTGTTATCAGAGTGCTCTTCATTACACCATTGCATAATCTGATGTGCTTCATCAGCCAATGCAACTTCTTCATCGTAGACTTCAAATATATCACCAATTTCGCTAGAGTTCGTCGATTGACCATTGGCATCATCACTGAGTTCCTGATTGTTGGGATTTTCAATCGGCTTCGGCTTCTTTGTTTTTGGTAGGATAAGAGGAGGAGCAATCTTCTTCTTAACAGATTCGGCAGCCCTTCTGGCTCTCTGAGAACGAGCGGCTTTGTCAACAGCCATTTTGCCTGGTTGTGCTCCGTTTACTCTGCAGTTTGGAGACCTCAGGAGCTTGATACAATTAAAAATAACTCCAAAGAGTTCCATTGATTTGAAAACATACAACAAAAGCTGTACAAAATACATCAGAAATCAAAACCGCAACATCCACAGGGAAAAAAAAGTGAGAATCTCGCAAAAAAAAAAAACAGTTTTTTTAGAAAATAAACTGGAAATTCCAAAAAAAAAAAATGGAAATCTGGTTTTAAAAATTTGGAACACCCCCGTCAAGAAGAGCCCCGGGGCACTGTATTCTGCCTTTCTCCACTCCCAGCCCTCTTCCCCCTTCGACTATCTACGTGACCATCTCCACCGCAAATTGCTATCCGAGATGCCAAATCTCAAAGTTCGGCAACTGCGGCGCGCTTTTAGCAGCTTGCGTCCAGTTGGTGTTACACCGCAAGTTGCTATAATAGCAACTGGGGAATGTGAAAGGTCCCCCCCGGGGCAGCAAAGACTGCACCCAATATTGGCCGGTATCGGGGTCCTATTTCTCTAGTGACCGGTACCGACCATGGAGAGTGTTTACTATCCGGTGACTGGTACCATCCCAAGAGATGTACACTCTCCATCGACTGGTACCGGTCACTTCTTTAGTGACCAGTGACCGGTATCGGTCTTCAAGAGAGTATAGGCTCTCATATGAGTTGTGACTGATACCGGTACTTGAGAGGAGACCTTTGTTTTTCACCGGTATCAGTCTTTGAGAGTGTACACACTCTAGTGACTGATACCGGTCCGGTCTTGGAGAGTGTACATTCTCTCTTGACCGATACCGGTCTCTGAGAGTGTACATTTTCTAGTGACCGGTACCGGTCTTTGAGAAGTGGCGGGGGGATGTGGGGGAGGGGGTGGATGCGAGAATCACAAGGATTCTTTGTGATACTCGCAAGGTTGAGCTGCTATCCTGATGCTATACAATTTGGGTATCGG